CCACATGGAAGACTTGGATGGAGCCCCTGGCTCCTGGCTTCTACTTGGCCCAGATCTGACTGTTGTGGGCATTTGGGAAGTGAACTAGTGGGTAAAATTTCTCTTCTCTCTACTCTTCTTCTTTTTAAAAATATGTATTTATGTATTTGAAAGTCAGAGTTAAAGAATGAGAGGGATAGACAGAGAAAGATTTTCCATTTACTGGTTCACTCCCCAGATGGCTGCAATGGCCATGGCTGGGCCAGGCCAAAGCCAGGATCCAGGAGCTTCTTCCATGTCTCCCACATGGATGCAGGGTCCCAAGCTTGTGGGCCATCTTCTGCTGCTTTTCCTGGGCCATTAGCATGGAGCTGGATAGGAAATGGAGCCCATATGAGATGCCGGTGCTACAGGTGGTGGCTTTACCCGGTCATGTCACAATGCCAGCCCCTGTCATTCTACTCTTCAAATAAATAAAAATAAATAAATAAAAATTAAAAATAAAAGAAGTGGGGCCCAGTGAAGGCTAGTTAGGTCTTGGGGGCTCCACCATCATGAGAGGCTGGATTTGTTCCTGCGAGATGAGGGTGCAGTAAACGAGTGTGCCCGGCCCCTCCCCCGTCTCTCCTGCTTCCTCTACCATGTGACACCTCTGAGCTCTGTCTCTCAGCTGCTTCTGCCATGATGCTGTCTACCATGCTGGATGCAGGCAGACACCCTCTAATTAAAAAAAAAAAAAAAAGAAAGAAAGAAAAATTGTTGCTGTTTAAAAGGCAGAGAGTCATAGAGAGATCTTCCATCCACTTGTTCACACCCTGCCGGCAACAGCCAGGGCTGAGCCAGGCGGAAGCCAGGAGCCAGAAGCAAACCAGATGTCTCCCACATGGGTGGCAAGGCCCCAGACACCTGAGCCATCACCGCTGCCTCCCAGGGTGCACATTTTAGCAGGAAGCTGGATTAGAAGTAGAGCTGGAACTGGAACCCAGGCACCGCGACACAGGACATGACTTTGCTGCTGTCAAAATGCCCACCACCCTCCTGATTGCAATTTGGTGCCTTGGGCCAGCCCACCCAGCTAAGTCACTCTCAGGTGCCTAACCGTCAGAAAGGGTATGAGATAATAAATGTCACTTTAAAAAAGGAAGGGGTGAGGAGGAAAGGAAGGAAGGGAGAGAGAGAGAGAGAGAACTCATTCCATGCTGCCATTTGGGATGCCCACAGGGGAACCAGAGAAAAAGCTGTGTGGTGGCAATTTCTGCCTCTGGGAGGCCTGCCGGGAATAGACGGCTCTGGAAAGAGTGCCCTCCTCCATGCTCCCAGAGCCCCTGCGAATCCCAGCCCTGCAATGCCCACACTCATTGCGTGGTTTCCACAAGTCAGTGAGAATGCTGGTGGACTTCCCCCACTGTGTGGAAGAAAGGACTGAGACCTAGAACCATGGCATGAACCCCACCCTGCCGTTGTCTAGTGTAGAAGACCTTGGGACAAGCATGTGGTGCAGGAATGTTGAGAGGGTATAAATAGTTATGGCAAGGGGCCGGCCCTGTGGCACAGTAGCTTAATCCTCTGCCCATGGCGCTGGCATCCCATATGGGCACCGGTTCTAGTCCCTGCTGCTCCTCTTCTGAGCCAGCTCTCCATTAGAGCCTGGGAAAGCATAAGATAGCCCAAAGGCTTGGCCCCTGCACCTGTGTGGGAGACCCGGAAGAAGCTCTGGCTTCAGATCAGCACAGCTCCAGCCCTTGCAGCTATCTGGGGAGTGAAGCAGCAGGTGGAAGACCTCTCTCTGTCTCAAATAAGTAAATAAAATCTTTTAAAAAGAGAGATTAATGGCAGGAAGATGGAGAGGTGACATAGGGAATGGAACCAGCTGCAGCATGTGGACAAGAGTGTCAGCCGGCAGGGCTCCACCATGGATGCCTCTTCCCCTGGGGGTAGGGAGGGGAACCCTAGGGTCCAGTGCAGAATTCCTGCCTCAGAGGCAGATTCCATCTGAGACAGGAAGAGGCAGAGTAGGTCTCCGACAACTCTGCTGATCCCTCCTGGAGGATTATTGGGGGAGTGTGAATTTTTATCTTATTTGAGAGGCAGAGGGAGAGAGGTGTTTGTCCCGTTTACCCTCCAAATGCCTACACCAGCCAGGGCTAGGCCAAGCCAAAGGCAGGAACCAGGAATTCCATCCACATCTCTCCCATGGGTGGCAGGGACCAAATTATGTGAGCCATCTGAAATTGGGAGCCAGAGTGTGATTCCAACCCAGGCACTCCAACATGGGATGCAGGCATCCCAAGCCACCTCTTAACCACTATGACAAATGCCTGCCCCCTCCTAGCCCTCCTGACCAACATCTATAGGGAGCCTTGGGACCCTGGACACCTCAGGGCAGACACTAGCCACAGACACTTCATTGGAGAACACCCGCGAGGGCAGAGTGCCTCTGCTCCAGCTGTGCACAAACACACACATTCCCAAGGTGTGGTGCTCACACCGGCAATGAAAGCCTACCTCAGGGACTTGTACGGATGTCACTTCGGCCCTGCCCTTTTTTTTTTTTTTTTTTTAAGATTTATTTATTAGTTTATTTGAGAGGCAAATTATAGACAGAGAGGTCTTCCATCTGCTGGTTTATTCCCCAGATGGCTAGAGCTGAGCTGATCCGAAGCCAGGAGCCAGGAGTTTCTTCTGGGCCTCCCATGCAGTGCAGGGGCCCAAGTACTTGGGCCATCTTCCATGGCTTACCCATGCCATAGCAGAGAGCTGGAGCAGAAGAGGAGCAGCCGGGACATGAATTGGCACCCATATGGGATGCCGGTGCCACAGTGCCAGCCCCAGCTGCCAGAGTTTTAATAGAGACTCAAGGTGGCTTGGATGTGCCTGAGCTTAGCGAATCCCTGCTCCAACCCATTTCTAACTCTAGAGCCCAAAGCCTTCCAGCTATAAGACTGTGCCTGAGACCTGGGGGCCAAGGGAGTGGGGAGGGGGCGTCCCTGGGAGTTCCAGAGGCAGAGGAATAAGATGCCTGACACTCAGCCCCAGGGGACACCAATGGGCACTGGCAGTGAACCCAGTGAGGAGCAGAGCCCATTCCTTCATTCAAGAACTATTCCCTGAGTGCCTACTGTGCACTGGGGCCTGGTGCACATGCTTAGGGCTTACTGCGGGCCTGGAGGTTGAGGGGGAAGGGTTCACATTGGGGTTGGGAGAGAAAGGGAAGCTGGCATTAACTTTCCACGCCCATGCAACCAATCTCTCTGCCTGCTGGAAAGGGGATTAAATACCTCAAGAGTTCAAAGGCAATACCCACAGGTGCAGTGGTGCAGAGACAGCGTCACTCCCTGATCCGGATAAAACAGCCCAGCTGCTGGTGTGTTCCGGCGGGATGGGTACACTCAACGCTTGGTCTTCCCTCAGGCCCTCCTATGCCCAAACACCCTGGAGTCCCCTCTGGCTCCATGAAAGTAACCATGAGCGCCCATCCAGCCCAGATGTCCCCTGCAGCACAGCCCATGCTATGATGGGAAAGAGTGGGACCCTTTGATTTGCAACACTGGGGCAGATGCAAGACCCAGAACCCCAGGAATTATGCGGCTTCCAGCTCCATAGATGTGGTTACCACCTGTAATGGTACACCGAGGCCCCCTTGCTGGAAACCACACACGGCCTTCCACCTGGCAGACTCCCGCGAGGACAGCGCTGGTCCTTTCCACTGTTGTTTATGCCACCTTTTTCCTAGCCTGCCCTGACTTTTGCCCTTTTAGAAACATGTTATTGGGGTGGATATTTGGACACTACATCCCATATCAGAGCGCTTCGGTTAAGTACCAGCTCCGCTTCTGATTCCAGCCGCCCTCTAATGTGTACCCTAGGAGGCAGCAGGTGATGGCTCAAGAACTTGGGTCCCTGGGGCAGACATTGTGGTCCAGAGGGAGATACCTGCATCTCATAACAGATTTCTGGCTAGGTTCCCAGTTGTTCTGTTTCTGATCCAGCTTTCTGGTAATGCACCTAGGAAAGCAGCAGAGGACGGCCCAAGTGCTTGGGCCCCTGCCACCCACATGGGAGTCTTGGATGGAATTCCTGGCACCTGGCTTTGGCCTGGCTCAGCCTTGGCTGTTGTGGCCATTGGAAAATGAACCAGCAGATGAAACATCTCCCTCCCTCTCTCTGTTACTCTGCACTTCAAATAAATAAATCTTTAAAAAGAAAAAAAAAAGAAACTTACTTTGGTCCCTGCTACCCCATGGAGACTCCGATTGAATTCCTGTACCTGGCTTCGGCTTGGCCCAGTCCCAGCTGTTGCCAGTATCTGGCAAGTGATCCAGCAGATGGAAGATATTCTCTGTCTCTTTCTCCCCCTGTCTCCCCTCCCCTCTCTCCCCTCCTCCACCTTTTAAAAATATAAAAAATAAATGAATTTTTTAAAATAGTTTCTACACAGGCAAAAATGCTCTGTGCTGCCTGAAGTCTGCATACTACTTCCCCTTGGGTGTAAGTACTCAGAAGAACGCAGGAGTGGTACAGAGCTGGGGCTGGTGCTAGTTACGTGAATGTGTGCTCAATTAGGGACAAGTGTGACACACGTGCTTTTCTATGCACTCCAATAACATCAAAAATAAGAACAAAAATATGAAAATATTCACATCCATAGGAGCATAAAATAAGATCTTTGGGTTTTTCTTTTTTAAAGGCTTATTTATTTTTAGAAAGTCAGAGCTACAGAGAGGGAGGGAGGGAGGGAGAGACCTTCCATCCACTGGTTCACTCTCCAGATGGTCACAATGGCCAGGGCTAGGTCAGTCTGAAGCCAGGAATCAGGAGCTTCATCTGGGTCTCCCACGAGACTGATAGGGGCCCACTTGGGCCATCTTCTGCTTTCCTAGGCCATATGCAGGGAGCTGGATTGGAAGTGGAGCAGCCGGGACTTGAACCTGGTGGTGTTGCAGGCTTGACTTGCTTTGCCACAGTGCCAGCCCTAAGAGGATCTTTTTTAAACTTTTTTTTAATTATTATTTATTTGACAGAGTTAGCGAGAGAGACAGAGAAAAAAGTCCTCCCCCCGTTGGCCCACCCTCCAAATGGCCACTGCGGCTGGAACTACACCGATCTGAAGCCAGGAGCCAGGCCCCCCCACCCCGGTCTCCCATGCGGGTGCAGGAGCCCAAGCACCCAGGCCATCCTCCACCGCCATCCCGGGCCACAGCAGAGACCTGAAGAGGAGCAACCGGGACCATAACCCGGCACCCACATGGGATACCGGCGCCACAGGAGGAGGACCAACCAAGTGAGCTATGTGCCGTCCCCCTTTTTTAAACTTTTTTTTTCTATACTGATTTCCATGTATTTGAAAAGCAGCCCGATAGAGAATCTGAGAGAGAGAGAGAGAGAGAGAGAGAGAAAGAAAGAGGGAGAGAGAGAGAGAGAGAGAGAGAGAAAGAAAGAAAGAAAGAAAGAAAGAAAGAAAGAAAGAAAGAAAGAAAGAAAGAAAGAAAGAAAGACATCTTTCATCTGCTGGTTCATTCCCCAGGTACTCACAACATACAGGACTGGATCAGGCTGAAGCTAGGAGCCAGGGACTACATATGGGTCTCCCACACAGGTAGCAGGAACCCAAGTACTTGAGCCATCACCTGCTGTCTCCCAGACATATTATAAGGAAGCTGATTTGGGGCCTGTGTTGAGGCACGGCAGGTTAAGCCGCCACCTGCAATAATGGAATCTCATATTACAGTCCCAGTTTGAGTCCCAGCTGCTACACCTCCCATCCAGCTCCCTGCTAATGAACATGGAAAGGCAGTGGAAAATGGCTGGCCTACATGGTTCCCTACCACCAATGTGGGAGACCTGGATGCAGTTCCAGGCTCTTGGCTTCAGCCTGACCCAGCCTTGGGCCATTGTGGCCATCTGGGTAGTGAACTAGCAGATAGAAGATCTCTCTCTCTCTCTTCTTCTTCTTCTTCTTCTTTTTTTTTTTTTTTTTTTTTGACAGGCATTGTTAGACAGTGAGAGAGAGACAGAGAGAATGGTCTTCCTTCCGTTGGTTCACTCCCCAAATGGCCACTACGGCCAGTGTGCTGAGCCGATCCAAAGCCAGGAGCCAGGCACTTCCTCCTGGTCTCCCATGCGAGTGCAGGGCCCAAGCACCTGGGCCATCCTCCACTGCTCTCCCGGGCCACAGCAGAGAGCTGGACTGGAAGAGGAGCAACTGGGACAAAATCCGGCGCCCCAGCTGGAACTAGAACCTGGGGTTCCAGTGCCACAGGCGGAGGATTAACCTAGTGAGCCACAGTGCCGGCTTCTCTCTCTCTCTTTAATAAATAAACCTTTAGGCCAGCGCCGCAGCTCACTAGGCTAATCCTCCACCTGTGGCGCCGGAACCCCAGGTTCTAGTCCCGGTCGGGGCGCCGGATTCTGTCCCGGTTGCCCCTCTTCCAGGCCAGCTCTCTGCTGTGGCCCGGGAAGGCAGTGGAGGATGGCCCAGGTGCTTGGGCCCTGCACCCGCATGGGAGACTAGGAGGAAGCATCTGGCTCCTGGCTATGGATCTTGGATCATAGCAGCGCACTGGCCGTAGGGGCCATTTGGGGGTTGAACCAACGGAAGGAAGACCTTTCTGTCTCTCTCACTGTCTAATTGTCTGTCCAAAAAAAAAAAAATTAAAAATTAAAAAAAATAGCGAAATTGAAAAAGTCTCAAGGCAAACACAAATGTACCCCCTGTCCAGGTCCTGTGGTGACGATTCTGTCATTAAGTCTCCACTGTGCGTGCAGATCACTCATCTGTCTCTCTCTGATGACTCCTTTTGCTTGCTTGTATTTCCTGATTTTCTGTAATGAGCACAACATGACTTCTGTAATAAGAAAACAAACGTCTGGTTTTCTTTTTTTTTTTTTAATTAAAATATGCACTCCCTTGTGGTTGCATTTCACTTCCGCTCTCCTCTGGGAGCCTCCTAGAACACTCATGCTGTCCTGATTACAGCCCAAGGGTTGCTGACTCCTGAAAACCCCAGTCCTGAGCTCCGCGCTTCGTTCCTCCAGGCTGGGTTCCTTGTGCTGCTTCCCGGAGCCTGACTCGACCGCAAGAAGGGGTCCCTCCACAGGTGGTTGACATCAGTGAGACGATCCAACCACAGAACACATGGTCTCTCTCCCTCTCTCCCTCGCTCGCACACACACACACCAGGCACACTGCTCAGGGAGAGCCTCCTGGGCAGGTACGCCTCTAGCTTCCAGGAGTGACAAGTGTGTGGCCTCTCTTCATTAAAGGGTCACGTTAGCCATTGGGCACAATTCAGCGATGGATGCATGGCCGGCCTCATGGGCCTGCGGTCTGCAAAGTCAGTCCCATGGGGCTCCGAGCTCAGAGGGGCCTTGTACTCTGCTGTTGCCATCTTGAGATTCATCATCGTGTTGGATGTGGCACTCTGCATTTTCATTTTGTCTTGAGTCCCACAAATTACGCCCCAGGATCAGGGCAAAGCAAGAGGACCCACAGGAGGTAAGACAGCTTTGAGCCCTGCATACCATGACACTCAAGTATGTGTAGGGCCAGGGAGGGGGTGACAGCTGGGCCTGGCACCTAAGTCTTCAGGAAAAAGAAAAAAAAAAAAAAAAAAGTGCCGCTTCTGTCACTGTGTGTGATCAGTGATAATTAGTGAACTCCGCAGCTGTTTCTGAAACTTCGCTTAAGCCTGGTTAATTCACTGTTCACACGCCATCATTCAGCTTTGATTCACTCACATATGTGTAAAACAGTTTATTTTTAAATTTTTATTGATTTTTGTTTTATTTGAAAGGCAGCAAGATAGACAGACAGAACTTCCATCCGCTGGTTCACTCCCCAAATGCCTTCAACAGCCGGGGCTGGTCTAGACCAAGGCCAGGGGCCAGGAACTCCATTCAGGTCTCCCACATGGGTGGCAGGGACGCAGGTACTGGAAACACCAACTGCCGCCCCCCAGGGTGCACATCAGCCGAACCTGGATCAGAAGGGGAGAAGCGGGGACTGAAACTAAATGCTCTGGGCTGGTGCTGCGGCTCACTAGGCTAATCCTCCGCCTTGTGGTGCCGGCACACTGGGTTCTAGTCCCGGTCGGGGCGCCGGATTCTGTCCTGGTTGCCCCTCTTCCAGGCCAGCTCTCTGCTGTGGCCAGGGAGTGCAGTGGAGGATGGCCCAAGTACTTGGGCCCTGCACCCCATGGGAGACCAGGAGAAGTACCTGGCTCCTGCCTTTGGATCAGCACGGTGCGCCGGCCGCAGCGCGCTGGCCATGGCGGCCATTGGAGGGTGAACCAACGGCAAAGGAAGACCTTTCTCTCTGTCTCTCTTTCACTGTCTACTCTTCCTGTCCAGAGAAAAAAAAAAAAAAGGAAAAGAAAAAATGAAAAGGAAAAAAGAAAAGAAGAAGAAAGAAAGAAAGAAAGAAAGAAAGAAAGAAAGAAAGAAAGAAAGAAAGAAAGAAAGAAAGAAAGAAAGAAAGAAACTAAATGCTCTGATTCGGGATGCACCAAAAGCCCATCCCTGCAAGTGGCTTTTGTACCAGCAGAGCCTTTGACAAGCCTCCGGAGCACAATACAAGTGCACAGCCAGCCTTTCAAATACCCCAACAGGGGCCGGTGTGGTGGCCCAGCAGATTAAGCTGGCATTGTGGCCTGCAGTGTTGCCATATGGGTGTGGGTTCGAGTCCTGGCTGTGCCACTTCCAATTCAGCTCCCTGCTGGTGTTCCCCAGGGAAAGCAGCAGAAGATGCTCAAATCTTTGGGTTCCTGCACCCAGGTGGAAGACCCAGAAGATCCTGGCTCCTGGCTCCTGGCTCCTGGCTTTGGCCTGGCCCAGCCCCAACCATTGCAGCCGTTTGAGGAGTGAACCAGTGGATAGAAGATCTCTTCTCTGTTTCTCCCTTTGTAACTCCGCCTTTCAAATAAATAAAATAAATTTTTAAAAAATTGTGTGTGTATTGGGAGGGTTGAGTGGCTGCATGCGTAATTTCTGGATGGCTAGAAAGTATGAGAAGGTTTGGCTTTGTTTAAATAAAGATTTATTTATGGGGCCAGCACTGTGCTGTAGCAGGTAAACCTGCTGCCTACAGTGCTGGCATCCCATGTGGTCGCCAGTTTGAGTCCCAGCTGCTCTACTTCTGATCCAGCTCTCTGCTGTGGCCTGGGAAGTAGAAGATGGCCCAAGCCCTTGGGCTCCTGCACCTACATGGGAGACCTGGAAGAAACTCCTGGTTCCTGGCTTCAGATCCGCTCAGCTCCAGCCACTGTGGCCAATTGGGGGGTGAACCAGCAGATGGAAGACCTCTCTCTCTTTGCCTCTCCTCTCTCTGTGTAATTCCAACTTTCAAATAAATAAATCTTTTTAAAAAATATTTATTTATTTGAAAGTCAGAGTTGGGGCCAGCACCAAGGCTTACTTGGTTGGTCCTCTGCCTGTGGCACCAGCATCCCATATGGGCACCAGGTTCTAGACCCCATTGCTCCTCTTCCAGTCCAGCTCTCTGCTGTGGCCTGGGAAAGCAGTGGAGGATGGCCCAAGTGCTTGGGCCCCTGAACCCGCATGGGAGACCTGGAGGAAGCACCTGGCTCCTGGCTTCGGATTGGTGCAGCGCTGGCAGTAGCGGCCATTTGGGGGATGAACCAATGGGAGAAAGACCTTTCTCTCTGTCTCTCTCTCTCTCTCACTGTCTAACTCTATCTGTCAAAAAAAAAAAAAAAAGTTACACAGAGAGAGGAGAGGCAGAGAGAGAGAGAGGTCTTCTATACGATGGTTCACTCCCCAGTTGGCCGCAATGGCCGGAGCTGTGCCAATATGAAGCCAGGAACTTCTTCCTGGTCTTCTACGAGGGTACAGGGGCCCAAGGACTTGGGTCATCTTCTACTGCTTTCCCAGGCCATAGCAGAGAGCTGGATCAGAAGTGGAGCAGCCAGGTCTCGAACTGGCATCCATATGGGACGCTGGCGCTTCAGGCCATGATGTTAACCCACTGTGCCACAGCGCCAGCCCCCAAATAAATAAATCTTAAAAAAAAAAAAAAAAGACATTATTTGAAAGGCAGAGTTACAGAGAGAGAAAGAGAAAAACCCTCCATGCACTGGCTTACTCCCCAAATGGCCACAACTGCCAAGCCTAGGCCAGACTGAAGCCAGGAGCCAGGAATCAGAAGCTTCCTCCCTGTCTCCCATGTGTGTGCAGGGGCCCAAGCACTTGGACCATCTTCTGCTGCTTTCCCAGGTGCATTAGCTGGGAGCTGGATCGAAAGTGGAGCAACTAGGACTCAGACCAGGGTGCACATATGGGAAGCTGACGCTGCAGGCTGCGGCTTAACCCGGTGCACCACCGTGCCGGCCCTGGCTTGGCGTCTTGAAAGGATGTTAGAAGCACTCCAGTGGCTTTTCTAGAATTCCAGGGGGAGTGAGAGGTCC